CACAAGTTCAATGGATGGAAGCTGCTATCAAATAAGGGGTCCTATGTTAAAATGTAAGGTGACCTGTTAAAATGTTTAAAAAGTTAAAATGTTGTTATAAGTTTGATTGAAATAGCTTTTGATTTCAGTAAATATGCTGCAAACACAACAAATGACAATTTTCAGTTCTTTACAACCTATAAAGTATTTTGAAACTTACTGTGCGTAATAATTTTAAACAGTGCTTTGTAAGTTTTTTATGTTTAAAAAATACTATTATCATTAGGAGGTTTGTTCAATAAAATTTGAATTGTACTCTTAATAGTTGTTAACATGAGAATTATGCTGACTGTTATTTACATCAATTATTTAGGTAAATGAGAAAAATATCATTTGCATAATAATTTGGAACAGCGTGTATGTATGTATGTGATTTGATAATTTGTTTTATATAGCTGTTTCTGGTACCTCATGTGCCATTCAAAAGTTCTGCTGTGATGCGAGGTGTCAAAATAGAAGTAGGACTAGCCATGTCCCTTGTGTGACATTGTATCAGAACTAGGAGTGCTGTGCAGGGACAGGACTCTCCACCTTACTGTCATTGAGATATGTGAAACAGCATGAAGTAGTTGTATGTTCCCTTACAACATAATGACTTACTAACTACTGCCAAGTAGCGAAACCATTAAACAAGGTTGGTGACGGATGAGGCCCTGCTAAATGCCAAGCGGCTTGAGGCTCTATCTTTGTGTTGGCACAAGAGGATTTTGTGGGCCACCGAACATTGTGCTGGGGTGTCAGCCTCTCTGTGACTTTTAAAGGATAAGATAGAATGGGAATGACAGGTGAGGCCCTCTCTATGCCACCATTCAAGGTGACTAACTATGAGTTGGGCCGATGGGCGTAAAACCTCAGAGTATGAGGATGGGTGTTTGACTTGCGGGACCATTAACGTAAGGCACAGAGGCCTGAGAAAGTATAATCGATTGGGCTCCTGGTGCCCTGTCAGCCAGTAAGGGAGTCAGGGTAAGGTATAGAATAAGTACGTGTAATTTGACATATCTGAGAACGAGTAGTCAGAAATGCGGTCTGACACAGTAGGTGGATTGGCACAGACCTAAAGTGGTAACGAGATATCGTAGGAATTGTGGTATGTTATGTAAAAGTAGATATCCTGGTCTGCTTAACAGGATACATAGCGAAGTAATGTTCAACCATAAGTAGGAGGTTGTGCAGTAAATCGTAGATACCTAGCACCTAAAGATACAATTATGTAACGTACATGAGTAAGATGTAAAGCCAGCTCATGGATCCAACCAAATAATCTATAAAAGACCTACCTAATGTAGGAGGAGTAATGTTTCCCTAAAATCCTGAGTACTCTGTAACCTGTAATAACATATTAGTAATGCTCTTGATATGCATATCCTCTAACCCATCACCCATATGGAAGAAGAAACGGATACAAGTAAAGGCCGCAGTCCTAAGTAATTAAACTAATGATATAATGAAATATGAGAGGAGTATGTGCGTGGCCCTGCCCTGGACTTGCGCAAGAGTAGAAAAACAGACTTAACATAAAACAGTAGTGCTGTTAAGAGACATAAAACGTGGGCATATAGTCAAGAGAGTACACTATACACTTGAGTAGAATTGAGGCAAGCAATGAAGGAAGCCACCATAACAGGCGAATTAGGATAAGGATCCTAAACTTGGTAAAATAATTATAATTATACACCAAGGCAATAATTAAGGTAACTTAATATACAGAACAGTTGATAACATCTAATCCTCAGTTAAGTGTCAAAGATCCGGTCTCCCTTGAATATAGAAACCAATACAAGAAATCGTATTCCTACATTGGAAATGGAATAGTAATAGCATAGGTGCAGGTTACACGGTGTGATGTTGGATATAGGTTAAGGAATCGAGCCTTAATGACATGAGTATAGGAGTGCACTGGGTGAGCATTTAGATGCTTAGTAGAGTGAAAACCAAATAGTGTTTATTTAAGCAAACCAGTGCATTGTCAGCTTCTACTGACAAAGCATGAAAAACAAACAAGCAAAGCGTTTGCCTTACCTAAATTAAATACTATCTTGAACATAAAATTAAACTATCTTAAAATATAGCCACTGACACTCTTTGTCGTCATTTAACACTCAGATTAACGAAAAACCGCATAAAATAACAGTATAAGGGGGCGGATCCTGCTTGCAGACCTAACCAGACACCATTTTCTTGTGCTCCTTGGGGCATACTTAAATTCCGCCTGATATCGGCAAACTTGGGGTCAATCCAGCCTAACACCTTGCAAAAGGTCTACTGCTCAGGCTGCATCGATTGATGCCTTTTTTCCAGTCTAACAGCAACACAAAGCTGGGGCCTAGCACCCCCTGCTAATCCCCGGCCTCGAGGCACTCCTTACCGGAGACTTTGCGGCTCGCCCAATTGAGGCTTCACCATCAACACTACCCTGCATGCCGGCCATGGATCGCAGATCGCCGAAACCCACCCCTGAGACAGATAGCAGAGATATTGGGGCAATGCTGCAAAGGCCTGTACAGCACAGACAAACTCTTACAGGAGACCGGCGGGAAGCAGACCCTGAACCGGACATCCGTGGACCAGAGGTACTCAGGCAATACTTACCATACCTGTGGACTCCTCAGATGATTCAGTCCTGATCACAAAACGAGACATGAAGGTTGTCCTGGCCCAAATCCATTAGCTACCATTAGCTACAAAACGGAGCTGCAAGCAGTTACCGAAAGGGTCAGAGCCACCGAGGAAGATATTGTGGACACTTAATCTACCATGACTGCAGTACAGGACTCCATACACCAACTACAAACAATCCAGAGCATCCTGATCACCAAGATCACGGCAATGGAGGACAGACAACGTCGCACACATATCAATATCAGGGGTGTCCCTTCTGCTGTATCCACGGAGGAATTGCCTCACTATGTCAGACTCCTTTTAGCCACCATACTGCCTCCCACATTTGCACAAAAATTGACTGTAGGTGGACTATACCTCATTTCTAATACAGCCCGTACTAATTGCAACTTGAACCGAGATGTCATTTTGCGCCTCACAGTACAGGTTAAAATACAAATAATGACTGTTCTAAAAGGCAAAACACCTCTCACCTTCGAGAACTCCAACTTGAAGTTTTTTTAAGACCTCACCAGAGCAACACTATTGTGGAGAAAATCCTATGCACCTGTAACCACCCAATTATGAATGGCAGGACTGCCATACAGGTGGGGGACTGATAATTCACGAACAGTCAAAAAAGGCCTGAACTACTCATGTTCTCCACACCATGGCCGATGCAACACCATATCTGCTTAAATTGGGACTGCCCGCCCCGACTTCCCCTGAGACAACTCGAGAATTCTTGGGATCCGGCCAGTGTCCAAAGGGACACTGGCGCCAACTCCATGATGACGACAGGAGACAACCAGTGCACCACAGCACTTATTACTATTGGAGGCCCCGGTCTCCAGTGAATCTGATTGGATACTGTTATCCCATCAACTGTTCTATTTGGTTTATTATTTTGTTACAACTATTCTATTTGGTTTATTTTGTTGTTCTGTCGTTACATATTGTTCCCTTTCTTTTGCTCTAATTGCCAGCCAATTACATGCTATGCACCGTACCCATAAACCCTGTGGAGTGCAATATTAAGGTATTAGTAACACCAACCCCCCTCCCCCTGCTGCCCTCTTGGTTAGGGACACTGCACTTTCCAGAATTTCTCCTCAGCACCATAACCCACCTTTTGTGGTATCTTGCCGGCGTATTGCCTGGGATATCTAGGCTGTCCGCCCATATCATCCCCTCCTGAATTGCAGCATTACCCAGATTGGAAACTAGCATTATTCCACATGCCTGCATATGTCAAAGACCATTAGGTCCGTTAACCAACCTCAATGACACCCTCTTTGACATAGTGACACTACTCACTACAGGGCTTTCGTTAGATTGTTGGTTCTACTCTTGTTTATCTTGTTTCATGTTGGCCCTGTATATCTCAGTAGCCTGTTTAAAAAAAGAAAAATTCTTCCTACCCTTGATTTATTATATACTAAAATGTGCAGTTATTCTGAATGTCATGACACTATGACTTCTGTTACTGAATAGCTTGTACTCGCTGTCGTGGCATTACAAGCATGTTGTACATCATTGCATGCCAAATATAAAGATTGACAAAAAAAAAATAACAGTATAAGAAATACAACAACTTAGTGTTTGTACGTTTGAGCCGAACAAGTGCCTTCGTGTGCATGCTCCTGAAAGCCCACTAAACCTAAGTGGGATACGAAAAGGCTGGAAATAGCCAAAAGACAGTACTATAGCCTAATCGTTCGTGTAGTCGCAAAATACTGAAAAACAAACAAATGTATGCGAAAAGAGAATGAAACATAGAGCCGACCCAGGATGATGCTGAGCACCCACTACTGAGGTGTGACAGACTGCTCGACTCACGGTTATGACGATTTAGTCAACAAAGCGACTGGAATAGGTACAGGAGTCCTGTCGAGGCTCTGGAGAGTTTGGAAGACAACGAAACGGATAACCAGGGTCTGCAGGACCAGGTAAGCATTCCCATGAGTTGAGTTAAGTAAATGGCTATTTGCACTGACTGGAAGTCACGGTATGCAAATCGCCAGGCTGAAACAATAATGTGGAGCGCTCTGACATCCTTAAGAAGGGAAACCAAGCCCCTCCCACAACTACAGGCCAAGCCTTACATTTATTTATATATATATATATATATATATATATACATATATACAGTGAGGGGAAAAAAGTATTTGACCACCTGCTGATTTTGAACATTTGCCCACTGACAAAGAAATGATCAGTCTATAATTTTAATGTTAGGTGTATTTTATTAGTGAGAGACAGAATAACAAAACAAAAAAAAAAAATCCAGAAAAACGCATGTCAAAAAAGTAATAAATTGATTTGTCAGTGGGCAAATGTTCAATATCATATACTTTTTCCCCTCACTGTGTGTGTGTGTGTGTGTATATATATATATATATATATATATATATATATATATATATATATATATACACACACACACACACACACACATATACATACACACACACACACACACAGGGGAAAAAGTATTTGATCCTCTGCTGATATTGAACATTTGCCCACTGACAAATCAATGTATTACTTTTTTGACATGCGTTTTTCTGGATTATTTTTTTGTTTGTTTTGTTATTCTGTCTCTCACTAATAAAATACACCTAACATATATATATGTGTGTGTGTGTGTAATATATACAGTGGATACCGAATCCTTACACATATACATATGTGCACTGTATATATCTAGATCTATAGATTTCACAGAATATAAGGAGGAGACTCTGATGTGTAGCATCAAAGAAGGAATATATACTACTGAATAATTGCAAACATTTTTTTCTTCATCTTTCTGCTGGTAAAATCTAAAGAAAACATGATGTTACTCATCTTTCTGCTCATCTCTAAGGAGAACTAAATGCTTAGTTCAAGCAACAGCAATAGATTCAATATCCCCAAGTAATTTTTTTACTTCCAACAAAATAATAATTGCAATTTCATGTGGTTCTCTCTCTCTCTCTCTCTCTCTCTCTCTCTCTCTCTCTCTCTCCATGTTACTCTCTCTCTCTCTCCATGTTACTCTCTCTCTCTCTCTCTCTCTCTATATATATATATATATCATATATATATATATATATATATATATATATATGGTTTTTTTTTTTTAATCAACTTTAAGGCAATATTTTGTAAAGGAGTACATTCCATCTTGCTTGATGTTCTCATTTTAACATTCAGTTTATTTTACAGCGAAAATAAAAAGACTGTCCAGAAATGCTTAAAAAATAGAGACACAATCGTACGTAAACAAAATAATACACATTCTTTCACTAACAAGAACAGGTTATTCTGCTTCCAGCAAGAAGTGTTTTGAAAACCAATAAATAGAACATGTTATTTGCTCTAGAACCATTTTGACAATTTAAAATAAAATGTCAGAAAAGTGTTTTGTGACTTTGCACTTTGAATAAATGGTTTTGTATAATACACAGTAAATATAAAGAATATGCACTACATTGTGTTTTTATTAAAGGGACACTATAGTCACCAAAACAACTACAGCTTATTGTATTTTTTTCTGGTGAGTATAATCATTCCTGTCAGGCTTTTTGCATTTAATACTATCTTTTCAAAGAAAATGAAGTGTTTGCATTACAGCCTAGTGATAACTTCACTGGCCACTCCTAAGATGGCTGTTAGAGGGGCTTTCTACGACAGTGCTGCACAGTGTGACTGCCATTTAGTGTCTCCACTCTCTGCACGGAGACAATGAGCTTTCCTTATAGAGATGCATTGATTTAATACATCTCTATGAGGAGATGATGATTGGCAGGGCTATTTTTGGCTCTGCCTATGATCTGCCTCCTTGACAGTCTCAGCCAATCTTATGGGAAAGCATTGTGATTGGTTAGGAACAACACTTCTGATGATGTCAGCCAAGTAGGCAGATAAAGGGCAGAGTCAGAAACTGCAGACTTTAACAGAAGTAAGATTGTACTATGGTTAGGGAGCAAGTGGGGGGCAGGGGGACTAGATGGTGGTTTTAATACTATAGGGTCAGGAAGATGTGTTTGTTCATATAAGGAGATTTTTCTGTATATATGTTTTATTCTATTTTGGTGTAAACATTGGATATTTGAATTTTACAGTGTATCTTAGATCTCAACGTCTGATGTAGCAGATAACTAATGGGTAAATACATAAATAAAGCATACTTTAATTCGATTTTATTTTACTACTCATTCTGTCTTGCTAAACCATACTAAATGCATCACTTAGCAATCTAAATCATTCATACTTGTGAGTGACTAGCAGCCCAATTAAGAACATAGTGAATCTATGATTTCACAAAAAAAGTAGTTTATTTATTTGAAAATTGTTATTTAAATTTAGATAGATTTTTCACAGCTCTCAATGTATGTAAGAGCTGCTTACATAATTTGATGAGTATACATTTTCTTATTAATTTTTTTTCAATTCTTTATTTTTGATGTGCTTGAGGTAACAGTAAATATAAGAAAGCAGCACAATTTTTAAATTAAAGTGCACATGAGTGTGACGGACTGCTTGTCACCCCTACTTGAGTACCATAAGCACCACATGGACACCAAAACCACCGTAAACCCCACAAACCACTGCAGCTTTGTTGGGGTCTCGCTGTCCTCCACCCACCCTGGACCCAAGACCAGGATCCAGCTTTCAGTGGGTAGATCTATCCTAATCCAGAGAACATTGCATGCTGCTCTTACAAGAGCAATTGTTGTGATCCAAAGGAGTATAGTGATTATAGCAATCCCCAGAGTGAATATAGCTCTCCAATCCCCCAAACATGAGCCTAGACTTCATGAAGGTTAAAACGAATCTGATTAATGGCAGCCTTAACTTGCCTTATATGCAGGTCCCCATTTAAGGTGCACTCCCTCTGGGCCTGAGAGTAGACTACAGGAAAAACATATACACAATTACATTGGCTCTCAGGTCCAGGACACTCCCATACAAAACAGGTCAATTCCCTAACCTAGGCACAGAAAACACACATTTTTACAAAACACACAAAATCTGCACAAAAGTTACACCCCCTGATAGCCCTGATCTGGATGACAAACATATCCAAAAATCACCCAGATCAGTTCAGGGGTTCAGGAAATTCCTGGAAGTCATAATTTGACCGACCACCTACATGGTCCCATGCCCAAAACTGTTCCAGAGAATCAGGGCTTGCAGTCAGTCTAGTTTGATAGTAAAAAAACTAACAAACTACAGAACAAAGTCAATAGTCTTACCCTGGAACTTAAAACCTCTTGTTTGTGGGAACGTTTCCACCGAACAGCGCCTTTCTAAGTGTTATAGAACTGAATGCAGGCGATGCTGGAAGTCCAACGGTGTTCAGAAGTTTCTGTGTTCGTTTTCAGTTACATGAGATTCGTGCCCAAACACCATTGCCTGCATTTGCGGGATCAAGATAGCCGCCCCCTAGTGGTCATCCATAGGAATTGCGGCCACCCAGATGAACACTTAGAACACTGCGGTGGAAATTGCTACAAAGTAGCAATTAGGCTTAAGAAGCACCAGGGTGGTCTCCGATTTATGCGGCTGTTCGGTTCCCGAACCAAATATAAAATCCCATGGACCAAGTCTGTTAACATAGTTTTTTAAAGGGCCCATAATCTTTTGGCAAGAGGCTGGCCAGCAGGCCCCTCCAAGAACACGTAATGAGGCTCCGTTCGTCACAATGAGTATCAGGCTAGTAAAAAAAAAATAGAGATATAAAAGGTAAGTTAGTCTGATTGGTAGGCTTAATTATAGATGTTTAACTTATTGATAGACATGTTCAATTTGTTTTTTCTGAATTTAAATTCAGACGAGTTTCGGCAATTCGGACATCCGGATGCTTCAGAATGTCCAAATTGCTGAAGTGCCGATCCGAACCGAACTGACGAAGTCCCGAATTGCAGAAGTCCCAAAGTGCTTCGCATTTCCGAAAAGTGGCAAAACAGGAGAGGGAGGTAAAATTAAGGGAATGATGACAGGAATCTAACCCTACCTCTAAGCCTAACCCTACCTGCAAGCAACAGGAGGGCTAGACTTTGCCTATGTTCCAGCTGAGGAGAGAGCATTAAGTTGTCTTGCAGCAGGGACCCGCTGCTCCTGCCCTCGCCCTCAATGGGAACTGAGCGCACAAGTCCACAGATCCTCCAGTCAACGGTGGCTGGATTTTGGGCACACAAGTCCTCCATGATTTGGATACCCCATGTGTGCATGGATTATGGTATGGAGAAGTCTCTGAATAGGCCCCTGGTCTGGAAGAAGAATAAGAGGCGAAGTCGGCATCATGGGATAGTCGTGCAGTAAGTACTGGCATTCTGGGTGAGATACGATCCCAGAATGATTGGCACAGAGCATCAAACTTGGCTTCAAAAGTCTCTTTCTATTGCAGGATCTCTGAGCGCAATTGACCTGGAAAAGTTGCTGGCGTGGTGGCCGTTTTGGCAGCACCATGTGGCTTGGGATTTCACAGGCACATAGCTGCCAGTTACGATGGCTTTGTGACCCAGTGGGGACCGGGATATCCTCCGTCAGTCCAAATAGGGTGGGGGAGGTGAACAGGGCTATAACTATTCTGGGCAAAGATCAGCACCTGATGCCGGGAGGTTGGCCACCTCTCCCAGCTGTCGACACCTGCAGCTCTAAAGGTCTCGGTCTCAAAAGGTAAGAGGCCGCAGAAACAACCACAATATTTCTCCGTCGTATTTCAGGCTGATTATGGTTGAGCTGAAAAAAAGAGTGGTCCCCAGTCAGCTTAGGGTCGCTCCAACAAGAATTGATGGGGTATTAGCCACATTCAGCTTTTGGTGGCCAGAGCTAGTGAGAAACATGTCCGGCCATCTTGGAAGTCAGGCCCCGCCCCCCATTTTCTCACTTCTTAACCAAAATATGAGTACTCACAAAAAGCATACAGTCCCTCCTCATATTTTTACCAATTGCAAATGTCATACTGAATATAGTGTATGCAAAAGACACGCTATTTGCCTAGTTTGAGCTGAATGAGCGTTTTCATTGTTTTTCAGAGATATTGAAATGAGGTCTGTGCCTACACTTATAGCCACATTCATAAAGCTTCTCTTAATACTACATGTATGAGTTGAGCATTATCTCTATATTTTTCATGCAAAAGATGTAGACATTGTGAGCAAAAGCTTTACAAGGGCTCAAAGATATGTTCAAGCAAAATTCATGGATTTCTCATGGTTATTAAATGGACATTGCATTGCAACATTCTGCAGAGGAAAATGAATCGAATGTGACTGATTTAAGAAGCAGAGCTTAAAAACCATTTCACATTCAATGAAAACTTCATTAATAGGGTTGATAGAATAGAAGAGTTAAAATATAAATTGAATAAAACATATTGTGTGAGTCAACCTAGCACAACTCTATTAAGTCTGATATTAATATTTATATTAATGTATTAAGTTTTTATTTAACACATTACACTGCAGACACTACATTACATAGTCATCATCACATACCTAAGAAATACCTTGCATATTTATACAATGGAACAATACATATATTAATAGTATATTACTATAATCATCTTTAGTAATATTATTATAACAACATTGTCAGATGGTTCTGACAATATTGCATAGTTCATATCTACATTTAATTTACACTATTTTTTTTTACATATGTGAAATTGCATGGTCAAGTTAAGTTGGGGGACCCATTATAGGTAACTCTAAAAAGTAACATAACATACATGACACTACACAAATATAGATATGGTCATGTTTCAAACACTGTATCAATTAAATATATCCTCAGGAGACAGAGCATTTTAAATAGTACATATTGACCTTCCCCTTCATCTCTTCAGATTAACTATTTTCTATCAGAAAAGTCCATATTTCTGCTGTTGCCCTTTGTGCAAACCCCATTCCTTTTTTTAATTGAAATTTCAATTGTTCTTTAACAGGGGGCCACACTGGGACCAAAGGTAACTTCCAGTGTCTTGTGATAATGATCTTGGCAGCCACCAATATATGGGTTACAAAAGGTGATACATTTCCACATAATTGTCCAATATTAATCTGCAGGAGAAATGTTTGAGGAAGACATTTTTAGAGGTTAAGGATTAAATTTTTGACAATATCAACTTCCAAAATAGCTAAAGTGAACCACAATCCCACCATATATGTAGATAATCCCCTCTCTGTATACCATAACACCAGCACATATGATCCCAATTAAAAGAAAATGTACTCGATCTACTGGGGACCATATACCATCTATTTACCAATTTATATTGGCATTCGACTAGATTGAGACAAATATTTTTAGATACTAAAGATAACGACTCCCTCAATTGCTCGCAACTAATATGTATATTTAAGTCAGATTGGCACTTAATAATCAATTCAATAGGTTTATCCGGATCCTTTGCAATAAGTTGTAAGCATTCTGCTATTAATTTTGTTGGAACTTTTCAAGCAAAATAATTTTGGGGGATTTATCTCTTGATACAAATTCTTGACAGAAACCTTTAATCCTTAGATAATTAAAAACTTTGTTGCAGTCTAACAAGTGAAAATTGGACCAGGTGCTATTACTTATTATATTATCTATTCTTACTAGGCCACACTCTAACCAGTTGTGTATCTTTAAGTCTGGCATATAGCATAAGAGATATGGCAGTGGAAGAGTGGGGATTAATTTAATATGCAAATGAAGCTCTTTTCTACATTTCTCCCAACAAGCCAATTTATAATTTAGAGTAGAGCTATTAGAGCTAAATTTCAATAAACTACCGTTTTTTACCTGAACTTTCCAAAATAGGGGTCCTAATTCTATCTGGAAACAATCAGTTTGAATTAGAGATTGTTAAATTTGATACCAAATCTCAACTGTAGAGCTCTTTAACTAAGTAATAAAAGCATGTAATTGGCCTTTTGATATTCTTTTAGAATAGGAACCCCCAAACTGCCCAATTTGACTTTTAAAGATAAACGATTTAAGCTTATTCGTGTGGTTTTCCCCATCCATATAAAATTATTAATGAAAGATTGAGCTAATGTCACCCAGCTATCTGGGCATTGCAACGATACCATCCAAAATAGAAATAACAATTTTGATACAATATAGGATTCTACTACATTAATCCTACCCCACCAAGATATTTCAAGATTTTTCCATTCATTTAGTTTTTTAGCTGTGTATTTAAGGAGTGATTGGAAATTAAGTTCCACTGTTTTACTTACATCATTGGCAACTTCAATCCCCAAACAGCTGAATGATTCATCAGCACAACAAAATCCAAACCCATTCTTTAGAACCCCAATGACACCCTGAGACAAATTAATAGGTAACACGACTGATTTACTAATATTCAGTTTGTACCCTGAATAAACTGAAAACTCATCCATATATGGCAACAAATAAAGTGACTTAAAGGGATCTTTAAGAGTAAGTACTACATCACCTGCATACATTGTCAATTTAACATAGTCATCCTTCACTTTCAAGCCTTTTATTTGATCATTGTTCTTTTTTGCCACTGCTAAAGGTTCAATTGTCAATAAATATAAAAATTGGGAAAGTGGGCACCCCTGTCTCGTCCAATTTTTTTAATGGGAACCAGTCTGAGGTTAACCCACCTTCTACCATTCTGGATGTCGGGAAAGTATATAAAGCCATTATGGCTATTTTTAAATTCTCTGGTAGCCCAAATGTGTCCAAAACTGCATCCTAAAAAATCCCACCTGACCCTGTCAAATGCATTCTCCGCTTCAAGTGACAGGCCCAGGATGGATGGGTTCTATTTGTGAACCAGGTCCACTATGTCAATAAGTTGTCTGACGTTATACACCGATGATCATTTTGATACAAAACCGACTCGGTCTTGGTGAATAATACCTGATATGACATTGTTCAATCTAGCAGCAATTACTGATGAATATAATTTCATATCCACATTCAATAAAGAAATGGGTCTATAGTTTGAAATCTGCTCTGGATTTTTATGCTGTTTAGGGATGGGTACTATATGAGCCTTTAACAGTTCACCTGGAATATTCCCACTTCCCATAAATTCATTAAATGCATTAGTTACACTATTAATTATATTTTCATTCTACAAATTATAAAAAAATCATTACAGAAACCATCAGGACCTGGGGCTTTATGAGACTTAGATTTTTGATAGCTAGGTTAACCTCTGCTGATGATATTGGCTCATTCAAACTGCTTAAATGATCTCTGGGTTTATTTTTTCCCAAAAACCTTCTGGACTTGTTGGTAAATGTCTATCAGGTAAATTATAATAGAATTCCTGGAAAGCTTGACCTGTTTTAGAGGGGGGCCAGGATAGTTGTATTCCCTTAAGTGATCTTAGCTACAATTTGTTTTGCCATTTCTTTCTTTAATCTACTAGAGAGTAGCCTATCCGCCTTGTTGCCTTTATGGTACCATGATCTTTTCAGTCCGTCTAGGGCAACATTGGCTTTTTAAATTAATAAGTCATTGATTTTTTCTTTGACTAATTAAGATCTATTACTTAACTGTAAGCTGGGTCTGGCTTTGTTTTCTTGTTCCACCCTATCCAATTCGATGTATAATTGGGCAGCATTTTTAGAGCATTTCATTTTCTCTTGATGGCCTAATTTAATTAAAGGAACACGAATCGTGCACTTATACGCACACATGATTACTGGAAGTGATACCTCATTATTATAATTCTCTTTAAAAAATATCTGTTTTTGCTTTAATTTGATTAAAAGGTTTATAATTGTTTAACAAACGTTCATTTAGACGTCAGTTAGATCTATCTTTAAACAGGTCTTCTTTAATTAGAGTAATTATTGCATTATGATCTGACCATGGAATGTTGGTCATGAATATTTTTTTTCAATCATTTTAATAGATCTGGTTCAGCAAAAATAAAATCATTCCTTAAGTAAACATGGTGTGCATAAGAAAAGCATGTAAAACAAACTTTCAATAGAATAAAATCCCATCAATCCCTTTCATATTAGCCACAAGTCAAGAAGGCCTTCCTTTCTCAGAATGTCGTTGAAGCTCCTAGCTGAGTTTTTCAGATGCCGATTGTTCTAATCCTTTATTAAACTCTTCCTATCCATAGATGGATCTAAGATACAATTAAAATCCCTCAAGTAAATAATCCTCCCTTGTCTAATTTGCTCAACCTTATCAAATAGTTTATGAATACATTTTATTTGGAGTATAGATATTAACAAAAGTAAAGATTTGATTATTGATTTCACAGATTAGTATGTGAAATCTGCCTTCAGTATCAACTTCCTGATGTATTAGGTTAAAGCTACCTGGGCCGAGATAAACATGGCCACGCCTCGTTTTTTATTATTAGACATAGATGAAGAGAAAAAATATGGATAATCTTTAGAAACCATTGCTTGTCAGTTGAACACCAATGCGTCTCTTGAACACCACAAACTTTTTTTTAGAAAGTTAAGAAAGAT